AACAAACACAAAGAAGAAAGTGGCATCGTCAAATACAAACGGAGAACATCAATTCAATCTCACTTGATGGAGAAGATCTGGAAGATGTGGAACCTTTCACGTACCTGAGAAGCACCATCGATGAAAGTGGATGATCTGAATCAGAAGTAAAAGAGAGGATTGACAAATTCCTATAATTGAAGAACCTGTGGAACTTAAACCAAATGTTAATCAGTATCAAAGTCACAATCTTCAATACGAACGTCAAGACAGTTCTACTGTATGGATCTGAAACGTGGAGAACTACAACAACCACCATCAAGAAAATACAAGTATTCATAAATGGTTGTCTACGCAAGATACTCAACATCAATTGGCTGGATACCATCAGCAACTGTACATATTCCCGTGTAATTGGTATTATTGTCATTGCCTATCGGTTTCTGACCCGCTGGAAGTGTCCCTATTGAGATGATATGTCGTAAATTCCAAGGACCTCTGAGGAATATGTATGGAAGTGCTACTTACTCAGTCTATTTTAATACTACGTCTTCTGTTACATTTTCGTTTCCTGACTATTGTATCGTCTATTTCAACGATTCTCTCAACTCCCTCCAAAAGACTCGCGTAAGCTTGTCCTTTTTTGTTGCATATATACCTCTACAATACTCATACCACTGAACATCCAAAGATTCAGTAACATCTGCAAATGTTGCAGCTAGTGTTACTGGCGCTTTTATTATCCAATTCGCAACAATTATCATGATTTTCTTTAGTTCCAATCGGGATCGAGCGGGAAAAGTTCCTGTTCTTTCACACTTCTTGTTCCAACATAAACAACATCGAAAGGCAACTTCATTATGGTAGTCTGTACACAGTACAGAATTCATTTGATTGCCTCAGACACAAATAAACGAACTTCTTTGTAATCCTATTTGTTGTATCCGCTCAATTATCACGTCTTCTATAAAATCCGCTGTAAACCGATTGTATGTGAGCATCACGTACTGGAATTGGCGCTGTGACATTGAAAACCGTCAAGCGCTCCTGATTGGCTAGTGGATAAATTAGAGTCTCGCCAAAAATTATTATTTTAAAAAATATATTATATAGACTCTAATGATTCCGATCTAATCTGAATGTAATTTAGATACTAAGAGATCATGTAAAGTAGCATATGTGAAAACAAATAAAAAGATGGAAAATAGAAGAATAAATAAAACAAGAGTAAAGGTTAGCCGATAATTGAACCAAAGTACAAAATGCATCTATTTCTAATGAAGAAAGTAATCGATAATAATTTTTAATAATACTGTAGTGAATGAGAACACAAGTGGGACAATCAAACTTATTTGAATACACAATTACAGAACGCCTTAGTAGTAGTATCTGAGACCCATATAGTAAATACTTCATTTGCATAGTTTCAATTAATTGTCTTAGACATCATTGTCCCTTCGTTTCCCAACCAATCATTCTCTATTCCCATTAACTTTTCTTCGTAATTCCTCACCTTCAACCACCAGGTATTTCGCTTTCGACTGATGATATATACTACTTATATCTCTCGATATCAGTGGCACACATCACAATACAAACGTAAAATTATGATCGTTTGGTAATCGAAATTTGTCGGGCACGTTAGATCCCCAAAACTCATATTTTGTAATTTTATCTTTGTGCAGCTTGTATGCAGATGCTTGCTTGTGCATTTCTTACCACCCACGCAGATATTCGATTGACGAACTTATCGATCAAATTTATACGAATATTCGTCAATATTAGAACGAATAGTTTGACAGAAATCGGGCGTCGAGTAAATGTTCAAAAACTTCTATGGCAATATCGATTATATATATTTTGTATAAATACGCTTGATTTGTGTGCTTGATGCACCTGTTATCTTCTGTTTGTCTGTACAATACACTTTCTACATCTTACCAAGACTTCTGGATCGAGTTAGCTGAGTCGGGGACAACGGATCAGTATATCCTATCGAGTCTCTGAATCCTCGATTCTTCGTTCGTTCCGAGTAAGACGAATCAATAGTAGCATTCAAGTTGACGAACATAACAAAATTATAAGTTAGCAAAGTAAGCTTTTGAACTTGTTATTTGAAGTCATCAAGAATGAATATTATTTAAAGTACTGATGTGTGGGTGAGAATGATAATCATTGATTGTTTGCTTAGTAAGCCATGTAGAAAGTGTGAC